TTGCAACGTTGCAATAATACTCAGGAGAACAGAACATCCAGTTCACTGTAAGGCAATGCAAATCAGTTTCCGTTTGTTTTGTTTTTTTGAAAAAAATGCACAAAATTCTCACTTCCAGTAACCGACTTTATTAAATAGCCAAAAAGACAATGAAGATGAAGTTTTGTCCTGTTATAAAATATAATATATTGCATTTCGTCTTAGAATGTACTGAATATCACAAATATGTAAAATTCCTAATAAATGTCATGGTCTCTAATATTATTTTTGCAATATTTCGGGCAGTTTTACTGCAGTCTTCATTCTAAAAATAATTACAAAAATGCGTCAGATAATTCCAGGCATTATTGTTTTTATTAATTTTATCCTAAAACGTTGCAAAAGTAACATTAGAAACCTTTCGGAGGTCATGCATGTATGTACGTTGGGGGTGGGGGTGGGGGGTGGGGGTGGTCATGGGAAGAAAACGTGGAGTAGAATGGGGGCCACTGGAAATTTTCCTGCATCTGCTGGGTGGGGTCAAGACGAAATTATCAATGAAAGCACGCAAAACAAAAGATATATGCTGCAAATACGAACAAAATTAATGAGAACACAATTATAACGCATTGAATTAATCCAACGTTTCTTAAATAAAGCAACAACTCTCTGCACTATAGTTTTATTAGGTTCAGCAGATAAAAACTACATGTGGATTGTCAGGTCTTACGTAGGTTTTGATAACAGTTCAGGAGTGCAATGACGACAGTATAATATGTCGTTTATGTCCCCGTTGTTGAAAATTGTGAGCATTATACGTATAAAACACAATATTGAACGTATAATAGATACGTAAAAACACACTGAATAACCTGTTTAACACTAGATAACAAGATACGTACTGTTTGAATTTTGAAAAAAATAGGATAATATTGAAAAACTGGCGTTTTCTTTTTGGATAGCAACTCAAAAAGAACTTCCCATGGCTTATTTAATGATTTCTACCGGGCCACGAAGATTCCTCGCGAGGATGACGTCTGAACTATATATAAATATGATTTAACTGTACTATAACGGTAGGAAGCCACCTTAAGCAATACTTATCAGCTAAATCAGCTATATGATCGACGAAACTTGTTAAGCCTTTTGTTATGGTTGTATATAGTATACATACTGAATTATGTTCTGACTGTTGAAATTGACGATCCAGGTCTCAAAAATACAGTTCGAGTTAACCGTTTAAATTTGACCAAGGGAAAATGAAATTTGTTCGAGTTAGCGTGGAGTTCGAGTAAATTACTGTAAAAATTGGGTTACTTTCAGGGGAAATTTAGTTCGAGTTAGCGCGTGGGGAGTTCGAGTTAAGCAACTTCGAGTTAGCCGGGGTTCTCAGACCGTAATAATATTCTTAGACCCAACCTCGTACCCAGGGCTAGCCGCGAATTGAAGGCGGCGGCATAGCCCTTGTAAATGCTGGTCACGTGACTCCAACATTACGTAATTGTTACTTTTCTCAACCGGGGGGGTGAATGCTAGAGGTGAAACTCGAAGACAAACAGTTTTTATCTCCGAAATTCTTCAATCTTCCCTGTGAATTTTGCATTTCTGGCTTTTCTCAAAGTACGGCGATCGATCAAATGGATCAATACTTTCTGTAGAAAAAACTCAGTGAGATTTGTTCGTATGAGACGTTTAAAAGACTTTGATATGTGATGTCACTCAAGACGCTCGATTATTTGCACAGATTTATTTATAGTTTAGTACTTTGTTCAGTTTGTTGTGACTTGCGAAGCAAATGAATGCAAATTCATCTCTTGTATAATGACTAAAAGTTTGTTTGTAGAGGGACAACTTATACAAAAGATATGAATACTTGAGCTTCAAACTAGGGACACGTTCATGGACATCCCTAATATATGGACATTGATACTTCACCAATAGGTAAATATGTAGTCATTAAAAGGACTGCGGTTGTATATGTACAAGTGTTGTGCTGTGGAATTTACGTTTTTAACCCTTTAAGTGGCAATGCACCATACTTTGTTAGTTTACTCTGTCTAACGCCAGACAATTATACCTGTCAGATGGACAGTGCATGCCGCCCCTCAATGGGTTAACATAGTCGATGAACATGCCAAATGATCCTTGACCGTGGTAGTGCATTTGTGCACTGCTGGATGATATCGCAACCAAGAATTGTTTCAGAGGAAGAGCCCTGAGATCATGCTGTGTAGCAATTGGAATCTTGTATAGAGCCTGCTCTCGCATATAAAGCAGGCAAAGTCGACCTTCACTCAGAGGCCAGGATTAATATTAATTCCCCACATAAACACTTGGAAACGTAATCTTTCTTTTTTACATGTTACGTTTATATATACGTCGAATGTACATCAATCTTCTTTTATTTCGCATCATATAAATCGCCGAGGAGGCGATGTTTCGAATTTCGAAGGAAAAATTTTCCTATGGAGCCAACCTTTTACAAATTATAAATTTGTGATGAATTCTATCAAGTAAAGGGTACAGTATGAATTATAAAATGTTTCGAAGTATTTTATTGTTACAAATTATTTAGCAGATTCTCATTATTTGTTTTACAAGTAGCTAATATAGGCCGGTCCTAGGACAAAATGGTTAATACTTCATGTAAGGCAAATTATAGTGGATCCGGGCAAGAATGGGCATGCCTGGAATCCATTTCCCGGAAGTCGGATTTCCCGGAATAGAATCGATGACGTCACTTCCGGTCCCACAATCCCCCGCGCCACCCTGAGGGCCCTCTGTCTACCGGACACCTCCCCCACCGCTCGCGCATCCGTGGTCACGCACACGCACACACACACACACACACACACACAGCCGCACACCTCCCCCACACATCCGCCACATCCTCCGCAAGTCCACTGCACCCACCGCGTCCCACACGCTTGTTGGAGTTTTGGTGGGGGAGAGGTAAGTGGTTTATAGGGAAATGTTTGTGTATAAGTAAAAGGAACCATGTCAATTACCAGAGTATCAGACTTCTCCGAAGACTCGTTTAAATTTGAGGACCCTGTCAAGGACAGGTTTGAATCTGAGAGGATCGGGCTTGTTGCGGCGGGTGGTGGTCTCCTATTACTTAGGCTGGAGAATTGCCTAGCCTATGGAATCAACAAGAACAATAGGTTCGGAAAGGACAACTATACTATTCCGTTGGCAATTGGACCACACATGGAATTCATATCAGCTCTGGAAGCATTGGAGAAGAAGTGTGCTGTAATGGTTGGTAAGCCGGGTACCAATGTGATAAGATGCTTCTATCGGGGTGGGAAGCAACCTATCCTGTATACTAAGATTGATAGGAGTACGGTGATGTATGGAGAGGACGGAGACATGAATCCGATGGAGGAGCGTGACGGACACTTTTACTTGGATGCTCTGTTTAGGGTTTCAAGCATATACCTATCTGGAAACAGGGTTTCCGTTCAGGTTAAGCTCCAGGAGGCAAAGTATTTGAGGGTAAAGGTTGCAGAACCGTGGAAGAGGCTTCTGTAGATTCGTTTAAATTTTAATGTTCCTACATATATTAAAATTGGTCTGTTGGGATTCCTACTGTCTTAGGTCCTTATGTCCTATTGCAGTGGTGTGTATCCCATCCTCGCAGATGATGCGTTTGTCGTCTCTTGCCGATAGGGCCACCTTAACAACCCTTTCTGTATAGATTTCATGCAGTCTGCTTCTGAAGACATTCATTCCTCTCCATTGTTTTTTTACCGCTGAAGAGGCATTCCTTGTAGTTGTCGAATGTTATTTCCTTTTTGATGGTTGTCTTTTTGACGCCTTTACATTTCTTTTCCTTCGTCTTCCACCATTTTGTAGGCGTATAGTTTTGCTCTAAGTCCTACGAATTCTTCTATCTGTTTTTCGCCTGTTTCCGATTTCATCATTCCGATAACCTTTTTGTTTATTCCGGTCGGAATTCCGGAGGGGTGGTTTCCTCCAATGTTGCTGGTATCGAATTTTTCATGAACGTCTTCGGAAATGTCCTTGAGGAAGTCTTCGGTTTTAATTTCGTAGCATAGGGAGTCTGTGCCTGTGAATAGGAGTTTGGCGTTATCCCCATACTTCGGTTTGATGTAGTTATAGTGGAAATCGTACATGAGCGTTTTGCTGATGTCCAGGATACTCATTCCCAGATAGATAGGTTTCTTCAACTTTACGGAGGTCCTTCTCATGTGGACGGCCACCAAGTTTTCGGAAAAGTTGGTTGCCGATTTGGAATTGTGCTTTTTGGCTAGCTTGTTCCATTTCTTTTCATCGTTGACGATTCTGATGTCGACTCTATTCCTTACGTTTTCCATAGTCTTTCCGAATACGGAGTTGTTCACGAGCTTGAAGAAATCCTTTTCGAAGTCTGTGGTTCCTTTGGTTCGGAGGTCCGTGTTGAGCTGGATGTATTCTTTCATCCAGTCCCTTTCGGTAAATTTAACTCCTCGATGTATTCTGGTTAACGTCAACCCCAGGCTCAGGTACTGCTTTAGGTTTGTGTGGTGGAGGACGTATTTTTCTTTGTTGCTGAGGTTAGAGATGAGCTTTTCCGTCTTGTTAACCATTATCCTTTCGGGTGCTAGGGGGTATTCGTTGTGTGGGTTGTGGAGATCGTCGGGGTATTCCAGATCCACTTCGAGGATGCAATTGTGTTCATTCCACCTATCCAACTCGTTGTCGTCCATCCATTTGAAGTTCCTGATGGGTAGGGGTTGACCCATCGCCCATCCGTAGAGGTTGTTTGCGTCCAGGTAGGGAAGGTATTTGCTTTCCTTCGTGGGGTCGTAGTTAACCATGTATTTGTTGTTGGCTATGGCATGTCTTTTGGTGATGGTGCTGATTCCTCCGCGGATTCCTCTTTCTATGAGTAGGTATATGTCTGGATCGAAAATAAGATCCAGTTCCACTTTGGTTAGCTTCAGGCACGCATCCCAAGCAAGTCCTGGCGCTGTGTAGTACCACAGGGGATCGAGTCCGTAGTTCGCTCTACATACCTTTCTGAAGTTTTCCATTATGTCTGCTAGTAGGAGGACGTCTGTTTTAAGGTAAAGGTCATGGTAGTCTCTCATGGTTTTCATGTCGAAGGTGTTCCACACGTTCTGTGCTCTCCTATAGTCGGTGTCATTGATGCTTTCGCCGGTGAGACTGCTGAAGAATTTGCTTTTGGGCGGGAGGGACGTTTCTCCCAGTCTGTTGAATCCGTCCATATACTCGTAGGGGTATACACCCTTCTGCTTGAGGATTTTCCGTTGCTCTGTGGTGTAGTGTGATGTCATTAGGTCCAGATTTTCGAAGTCATCTTACCTAGACCCTTGGTGAGTTTGTCCAGGGAGCTTGCCATAAATTTGAAAGAGTCAAGAAATCTTAATTCCCTTTTGATATTCTTTTCCTTACCATCCTTACCCTTGAACTTATCGACCACTACCTCTTTGGTAAAGGATATGTATTTTTCTTCCGTCTTAGGGATGTTTACCCCAAGGTTTTTGATGAATAGGTGGGCATCATACCCTTCGAGGTTATGGAATAGAACGGGAACGAATTTCGGCTGCCTCATCCTGAGGTTGCATGAGTTGTGTGCTGCACCCCTGTACTTTCCTGTGCAGTGACAATGGTCGTTGACTTTGTAGTCACTTTTTGTAAATTCCCCTTTACATGCATAGCATTGTGTGGACAGGTTGTAATTTTTGGTATCTCTGGGAGTCATTCTGACGGGTTCTTTGAACTTGAACTTGTTGTAGATATCTCGGGTTTCCTCCTCGAGAAGGTCTACAAATTTTTTGGTGATGTCTTCCCCCTCATACTGTTGGGTATAGTGTACCAGCTTGGGTTTGTAGATGGAGTCGTCGAAGCACTTAATGTAGTAGCAGAATCCGCTGGGGTTGTGTTTCTGGTATTGTGTGGTACTTGACTTGTCTGGACTTTGCTCTTCTGCGATCAATTTCCTGATGTAACACTCAAAGTCTGCGTAGATGATAATTGGGAATTCCTGTGTCTTTTCATAGTTTTCGAATTTTGTGGTGCTACCTGGTTTTGGATATTCGTGTCTTTGGTAGTCGTTGTTCGAGCATAATTCCAAGTGTTTTTCTAGGAGTTCGTTTGACCCGAATGCGTTAAGGCATCGATCGCATATGTATTTTTTGTGTTTGTTCTTGCTGATTTGTGAGACTACGTGTTTTGACATGTCCTTAACGACGCTGTAGCGGTTTTTCCATAGGAAGAGTCTTATGAGATCGGTTTTTCCTGATACTCGTAAGGGGTAGACCTTGAAGATTTCGTCGACACTGAACACGTTGACGCAGACGTTGTTGTTCTTTTCGAACATTTTAATGTTGTTTAGAGGTGTTGGGAATTCAACCCCTTCCCAGTTCAACTCTTCGGATTGTCTTTTGAGTTCCTTTGTAATTCTTTCCGGATGGATGTCGGTTGGGTTTAGAGCACGTGTGACAGCCCACTTGAAACATTCGTTGTCGTCGTTCTTCATGTTGATGATTGCTTTTTTGCTGGCTATGGATTTGGGTAGTGGTTCGCGTTTCTTACCCCTAAGTGGTCGGAACTCTCAAATGTGGATTTCCAATTGGGTGACTCTCCGTAGTCTCCATCCGCTGCCCCTTCTCTGATATTCCGAAAAGGACTTTAGCATCTTTTCCCTCGTGATACCCCGGGTTTCTTCCGTATCGTCCGTACCGATAAGTGTATGGTTCTTCGATCCGAAGTGAGCGATGGTTGACACTTCCTCCTCGGTTTTCGGGTCGCTCCTTACCATTTCACAGGCTAAGGACATCCTTACGTTCCTGGGTTCCGTTTCGGAGTTTATGAGTGTTTTAACCTCATCTTCCGTGATGGTTAGGAAGTAGGATGGGTCGTAGTTACCGTTTGTGGTGATGACGTACTTCTTTACTTTTTCTTGATGGCGTGTTTGGCTAGAATGGGTTTCAGGATTTCCCTTGGTTTTTTCCAAATTTTACTGAGCTTGTCACCCACCTTTAACTGGAGTCTACCAAATTTCTTTTTACCCCTCCACTTACCCTCTGCGATCCTACGGTTTTCCTCAGCTCACCTTTCGCGGGCCTTTGCATTTCGTCATAGTCGCTGGGTCTCCTTTTTCCACTTTTGAGCCTCGGCTTTCCAGTCCGTGACCTCCTTTCGCCGTCTTTTCTCTTCTTTAGCAATATCGCTTTTCCATTTCTTTGCATCCCTTATTTCCTTTTTTTGCGTTAGCCTCGGTTTGCCTCCTTCGTCTTTGGAATTGTCTTGCTGCTGATTTGATCTCCTTTCCGATTACCTTTCTCTTCTCCTTCTCGAGTAGTTTGTCGAAATGGTTGTTAATTTTCCCTTCTATTTTTAGACCTCTTTCTCGGGCCTTATCCTGAACGTTAGTTCTCATTCGTTCAATAGATTCGAATTTTTTGTCCGAAATTGGAGCATTTTGTCTGGTAAACTCCATTGCTCTTATTATATAGCAAAACTTATCTATAAGGTGGTTTTAAGGTTGATTCTGTTTTTCAGACTTATAAGGTTTGAAAAAGCAATGGAGTTCACAAAATGTCCACGGAATCGGACGTATAGGAAGGTGTCCTTTTATTATATAGGATTTATTTTGGAAAAGTTGATTCTGTTTTGTGGGACAAATGGTCCTCATCTCCGCCCTATAATTCGACAACCCTACCAGGTCACTACCTGGTAACCTTAATCAACTTGACCCTGAAGGGCTTCTTCCATTTCAGCATCCATCTGCATTTCCTCTAACATTTCCATCTCTCCTATCAGTGCCTCTTCTATAATCGCTTCGTTTTCCATATCCATTATTCATTGTTCTTCCCTTTCCTCTGACCATTCCTCCCAAGACATACACATACTGAACCAGTTATTTATAATATCCGTGGGTGGACCTAGATGGATGCGATCCTCCGGACTCTTAAGCCAACAATTAATAACATCGACAGATTCGGAAATGGTAATTAGGATGTGAATGCCTTTCAGACCTCCGTAAAGGTAACTCATACCTCGAATTTCGGCGCCATTTCCCATCCATCCTTTTCCAAATTTAATTCTATGTTTTGCTGGCAGACCTGATTCACCAAATGTATGGATAATGACCGTTATTTCCTTGTAGTCGTTATACTTACACATTCTCGCAATTTGATTTATCTCCTCTGGACAGTTGAAATAGAGTTGAACTTTATTATCCTCTGGATTGAATTGTCTCATGGTTAGTTTGTTTATATGTAGGAAGTCTTGCTTATAGACTGTTTGTAAGACATAGTGTCCGCACCTGCACCTTTTGGTTTTCCAACCCCGCCAGGTCACTACCTGTGGACCTCAACCTTCCTTGGCAAGCAGGACGTTGTCCATACCGGTCCTTATAGGTGTGTTTCCGGGCGGATAGTGATAGTGTCCCTCGTGGAACAGTTCGTAATCTTTCTGTGCTTTATTTTTCCCTTCTGTGTAGTTTTCACATGCATCCTTTTGCGCCAACCATTCCTGGAAATCCGATAGGGCTGTGTTTCCCTGGTGCCAATCGTCTACAATTTCCGTAATTTCCTCAAGCTGTACTCGTCTTCTGGACTTTCTAACAGGATCCAAGAAGGGTGGAGGCAGGACGTAGACTTGTAATATCAGCAAGGAAGCAAAAGCCAGGAAGAAGGCACAACTCGAAGCTATCAAAGAAGAGGAGCAAAGCATTACGGACACAGAGGACAGAGGTGATGGGTCAATAGTTACCCTAGAAAGAGTCGGCTTAGTAGTGGGTATTGCCGTAAGCCTCGGATCCCTTTACTTCATGTGGCACAGCAGTAAGGAAAAGGACGAGAAACCCGAGGAAAATAAGGTTGTAGAGGAGACGGAACCTGTTGTTACCGAAAGGTCCTGACTTGTTTGACCGAGTATAATAAAACAATGTCACAACTATTCTTGGACATACTGACCTTTTCCGTAGCAGCCGGAACTTGTCTTATTTACATCCACACACTTAAGGTGAAAGAAGACAAACGCAAGGCAGTGGAAGCCGAACGCAACGAAAGTGAAGACAGGATGCTCGACACCCTGGAAAGAAGATTCTCCCTAATCCTGGAAGAGAAGCTAAAGGGGAAATAGTTCTACTATAATAAGAAACATAATGACCGACACGAAGAAGGAAGTGATCAACGAACTCTACGATGCGGCACTATTGACAACCGGAGTCGTTGGAGTATCCTACCTTGCCAAAACGGTTGCCAGAAAAAGCCTCGGTGCAACAAAGACCCTAGAAGGAGCAGCAAAGCTTGTCGTTGTCGTAGCCGGAAGCGCATTCACCATAGGATATCTTAAGGATTAAGGATATATCCCAAAAATGATTGACAAATAAAGAATGACATCTGTTGTGGTTGGAGGTCTCTTTAATGCCGTGGCCTTTGCTGGAGCAGGTTTTCTGTTTTCCAAGTTGAATGGACAAGGATACAAAGAAGAGGTGAAAAGACATAACCAAGCCTCAGAGAAGCTTCAAAAAGCCAGGGAGAAGTTTTACGAATTTGAGGTGAAGCGTAGGAACGACGAGGCAAGACGGAGGGCTGAGATCCTGGATGCTAACAAGGATATCGAGGAAACAAACAGGGCACTGGAAGACTTGAGGGATTATACGAGGCTTATGGATAGTACAGCATCCCAACGCAGACCGAAATTGGAAGATTACTATCAACCGTCGGATGAGATGAAAAGATACGCAGTGCTGACATTGGGTATTCTTGGAGTTGGTGGTGCTTATGGATTAACACGAATATTTTAAATCCTCCTCTCGAGGGATTTAAAACTTTATGTTGTTAGGAGGGAGAAATTTATGGTTGTAGTCCTTGTTCTATTGGTTACATTTCCGGAAGAGTCTACGTCCTTGGATTCCATAAAGAAAATTTGTACCGTAGTGCCGGTAACCGCTAATAGAAATGAAACTTGGATGATCCTACTGCTTTGATCGCGTGTCCATATGACGACGGTTCCCACACTTCCAGTATAAAATTCGTATAAGGGTGAATGGGTTGCACGATTTTGTCCATCACTGGTACTGAACCTTATAAACTTTGCATTCTGCCTATCACTGCCGGATATGTTGGGGGTCTGTAGGTTACCAGGTGGATATCCGGGTATCTGGGTAAAATCGTACTGTACCGAATTTTTCCTAAGACCATTCAATTTTACAATGTCGTTCTCGTGTTTGTCTTCCCTTTTCAACTGCTGCTAATTTCTGTTTTAGGATATCTAGGTCTTCTGCTGCTGTATCGAAGTAATCGTATCCGAATAAGATGCTCATTTTATTTAACGCCTAAATACCAGATATGCAAGTCCAAAGGATGCTACTGCTGCTGTCCCAAGAACAACATTTTGGATATCAGACTTTTGCCTCAATTCCGGGGGTTTAAAATCCTCCACGGTCGGGATTAGTGCGGTTTCATGACCTTCGTCTGTACTGTCCGTAGGGGTAGGAGCCGGATTACTTGTATAATTCACCTTCTCATTCTTTCCGAACATCATCCCATTCTTAGCTATTGTAAGAACATTACAAAATCCCGGAACGGGTTTTGTCAGAATCCTCAGATCTGAAGGAATTAGTATTAAACCCGGCATGATAGCGAAATTTAGGACAACGTGGGTATTAGCAATAGCTGTCCTCATGTCGGAGATGGTAACTGTCACATCGTCCTGTACTATTGTATTCCTAACAACTTTCCGGAAGACTTCCTGCGTCTGTAGACTTTTTGCACCCTGACCTATGATACTCCATCGGATCTTAGCTTGTGCTCCAAGAACGGAGTACACCAATTGCTTCGATCGATTGTTGGAATAGCTTTTGTCCAACTTTTGTAAGTCCTCGAGATGTTTTGGGAATAAATGTTTTATAATCGTTTCCAACATCAAAGGGTGACCTACCGGTCAGATATTCATATTCTATGAATGTACCTCCGTATTTGGTCTGATGATATTTCTGCCGTCGTATTTTTCCCCGTTCACTTACGGGTAAACCGTAGAACCATGTACCAATACTTGCATGGGAGGAGACGGTTCTTCTAACCCATGTTTCACGTACTGGCATATATTTCCGAATAGTTCGTATATCATCACTTGTAAGATATTGGTTCAATAGTTTGGGGTTACGCATGAACCTAGACAAGTGGAAGTGAAAATGAAAGCGAATGATGGAGGTAGTGCACTATGTTGGAGTGTGAATTGGGAAAACTGTTTGTGATGTGATCCTCGGAAATCCATAGCAACGTAACATGCCGCTAAAGAGCAGAAGTAGGAATTTGAGTGGTAATCAAATGGTATGGTACTGATAAAGGTTCCGGAGGGTTTATCGTATGTCGGTTTAATAGGCTCCAATTTTGTTGGGAAACTTTCCATCTCAATAACATAGACCTTAAAGGTATGTATATCCATCTTAAACTTCTTATTCGGACGGAAGATCGCATCCGGAAGAACACTTCGCCATCCCTCCACCCAGTGAAGGTATTTGGTCCACTCCAGATTTGTACGGAATGTGTCGGACGTGATATCATAGCTTGTAAGATCATCCACCTTATAGTAGATCTCTCCGGAATCTACTGTCCCGTCCTTGAAAAAAGTAACATTAAAGTCAAACTTAGATAGGGCTGCATTGGGATACCTTCTCGTGAAGTCCGACTTCATTTTTCAGATTTCAACGGGTGCTGCTGCTTTAACCTATTCATAGTTTTCTCCGTAATAGTTCCGAAAGATATCCTCATTCATTCCTTTATTTGATGTAAAGTTCTAACAAGTCATCTCCGGGAACAGCTCCAGTATTAGATCCGATCCCGAATCGGATTCCGCTGTACCTTCCAGTATCCACCCGTACTTGACTTTCGATGTCGTTGTATTTGGTTGTGGTCCCAAAGAGAGGTCTTGTCCCATCGATCGGAAGTGAAGTGATGACGGTGCTTCTATTTCCGTACGGTCCGATGTTATGATCGCAGTTCACAAGGTTACAGTTGACTGTGAGGTACCGCAAGCCTTCATGGATGTCTACGGGACGATCGCTAGTGTGTGGGGTGTATGTAGGACCATTGGAGGACCGGTAGCCCAGAATACCAGTGAGATTCCGGAGTCCTGCGGAATTTGTCCCCTTAGCAAAGTCGATCCTTATTCTTCCATCGGGATATTCCTTAAGTGTTAATCCGTTTTCCTCCAACTCTTTCCGCAGCTGTTTAAAGGTCCAGTACCCTTCGTCTATCATAATCTTCTTTCCATCCACGGAAATGTAGTCATTAAACCCCTTACGAATATTCTTATAATTCCAAAACACAGCCGCAGTCTTTACGTAAAGTTCGGATCCGTGGGTAATGATCAGTGGTTCCCGTAAATCGAGGGTAATCCCTCCGTCTTCAACATAGACTGTTATCTTCTTCATGTTTTATTTACAGGTAATAAAATGAGTCTGGCATTGGATGTAGATCTCCGGGAAATATATTTTAACATTAATGGTGGGTACATGTCGATGGAAAAATTATACCAAAGTGAAAAGGAGGAGGGCATAGAGGGAGTTAGGAATGGTTACAGACACAAAATGCCTATATTATTCACAAACCGTCCAGAAAACATTACAAGACCCAGAGGACGTATGTGAATGGACTTGCACAGCAAAATTCAAATGGACCTTGTGGATATGAGTAAATTTAGTCACCGAAATAAGGGAAACCGTTGGATCCTAACTGTCATAGAGTTCTTAAGCCGGTATGCCTTTGCCATCCCCGTATGGAGGAAAAATACCGAAAGCATGACGAAGGCTGTCGAAAATATTCTCATACAATTTAAGGAAAGATTCGGTAGATATCCTAAAACGGCACAGTTTGATGATGGAAAGGAATTTTACAATGTAGGAGTAAAGACGTTACTAAAGGATCACGATGTTCACTACTTTTCCACAAGAACCTTCCGGAAAGCCGTACTCGTCGAAAGATTCAATAGGACTCTGAAAACAAGGATGTGGAAATATTTCACGGAAAACAGGACAAACGTTTGGGTAGACATCTTACCTGCTCTCATTAGATCCTATAATAATTCCACACACAGAACAATAGGAATGAAACCGGCTAATGTGAACGAGGAAAATAAGGATAAAGTTTGGACGAGAATCTACGGATATCCACTAAGCAGTTTTCCGGATCCTAAATTTAAAGTCGGGGATCACGTTAGGGTGGAAATAAAGCACAAGACCTTCGAAAAGAGATACGAACCCAACTTTGACAACGAAGTATATGTCGTTACAGTGGTGTTCCGGGAAGATCCCAATATGTACAGCCTTAAGGATCCAGAGGATCGGGAGGATATTTTGGGGAGGTATTATGAACAGGAATTATCTTTAGACTTAAATAAAAATGGAGGATAACATAGAGTCGGACAACCTTAACCGACCGGAAGGAGCCGAAGGGGGGTGAGGGCGAGACAGTTATTGATGATACACCTATTGACGAGGATGACTTTCTTTCAGGACTAGATGGACTAGACGATGCAAAAACCTCCAGTTACGGTGAGGAAAACAGGGATGATAAGTACGCAAAAAGGAAAAGGCAGTTAAATGAACTAAGCACATATGGAAAATTCGACGACATAAAGGTAGAATATGTTAGGAGGCTCTTTCAAACTGAGTACCGAATAGACCCTGCCGACGGACAAAACTCTAAGGAACTTGTCTCCCGTTTGGACCTCACTAAAAATAAGCTAACATTCAACGGAAATGATGTCGCATACATCGATACGCGTGGTGTATACAATCTATCTAAGGATAAAAAATCCGCCAGATCTGCAAGTGTATTTCTAAGGCTATACGCAAAAGCACTTGCCGAACACAAGAAAAGAGCTAAAAGTGTAGTCGAAGAGGAAACCGGCGGAGAAACATCAAGGTCAGGTGTAGAAGAAATTTTTGAGGATGCCGAGGAGGAATTCAGCCAAGAAGCCACCAACACTGGCGACAACCTCGTGGAACACGCAAGGGAGTAAGAGGAAAGGGGGAAAATAACCACACAGGAGAGGAGGGAATTTGCGGGAGTAATCTCTCCCAAGGGACCCCCCGAAGTCAGAATTAAAGCCCTAAGAGAACCGAAGAAAGTATTTGAAACCAATATAGAACTCACAGCAGATCCTGAAAGACGACAGATCATGCTGGAGGGTAGGGATGTTGCCGAACGCGGTATCGACGACGCTAGGCTAGAGATGGGCCAGCAACCCGAAACGGAGGAGGGAAAACACAGGTATAGGGAAATAGTAAGAGAAAATATCAGGACAAAATTCGAAAGATTCCGCAAATGGGCAAAGGAAAACCTAGGCGCAATAGCTGCCATTGCCATTTCCATAGCCGGAATCATAACTACAGTCGTGGTAGCCGGAACGAAAACCATCGTAGGAACCTCTAAAGGATTAGGAGCTGTAGGAAAAGCACTGGCTGGACTTGCAAAATCCGCACTACCAATCCTAGTACCTGTCCTAAATTTACTAAGTACTATCCTAAGCTGGGGAGCTAAAGGCCTCGCCTTCCTTGCCCAAAATCTATGGATTGTTGCAGCCCTAATTGCCGGAGCTATATACAAGTACCTACAAAGCAAACGAAAGAAATAAAGTTATACTATAATAAAAACATAATGGACCGGACAACTGAACTTATGCCCAGCTTCCGACGTATGAACAGGACGGAAATCACCAGGGAAAGAACCAGACATGTTCTAACCTTCAATCCCAAGGCCGACTCCGTTCTCGTACCAGATAGTATGGCCTTGGTCTTCGACTTTAAGAACAGCAACACAAAATCCTGGTTCAGAAATAACCTAGGAAAGCTGCTCCAGAAAGGGCTGGAAATCCGACTCGCAGGAGAAAATAGGTTTACGACAACAGCGGGGAAAGCTTACTGGAAGTCTACAAGAACCTGTGGCTACACACCAAGCAGCGCGACGATATGGTAGAGGATGGTATTGCCAGCAAAGCCACGAGAAAGAAGATATCCAAAGACGACGCCGCAAACGACGGTGCAGAGGCAACCGCACTGTTCGGTGTATTCGGAACAAAACAGAAGATCAGGATCAACAAGATCCTAAAAGATCACGGACTTTATGCCCCACACAACATGGCAAACGACCTGCAATATGTGATCACCCTACCCACAGCGGCTGAAATAATGAACGCTCAAGGCGGAGAAAATGTGGGGGGATCACCCTGGAGAACATCGAACTGGAATACGAGTTCATCAATAACATCGATCTTGCAAGGAAAGCCGAGGGTCTGTATGGATCCGAACGCGAATTGTCCTTCGAATACGCTATCCTAATGAAGGATACGGAATGGGACAAAGATTCCACCATTATCAACGAAACGATCAACGTACCACGCAGAAGTATGAAAGCCATCGTCATGCTATTCACGAACAAGACAAAGACAGACAGCGAGGAATACATCTATCCCAATATCGAAAATGTTAGGGTAACCATAGAAGGTGTTCCCAATGCAGTCTACAGTCAGGGTATTCCAAAAACAAGACTGTACGAGGAGGCAAGGCGGCTGTTCGGTACCAACAAAATCAGTCATCAGACGCTAACCGGATTACTCAAGGATAAAACGTTCGCGCTGGTTATCGACCTCTGAACCGCGAACGACGCCAGAACATACGGAAACGGTGCTAAAATCCAGAACACCCAGTCTGGGGTACTGGTGAGAATCAAAAAGAAAGCTACAACTGCAAACGTTATGTGTTACCTGTTCGTCCTTTCCGACGGTGTTATCAAGATCGCAAACGGACAACTTGCCGGAATAAAGTACTAAATTATTAAAAAAACTACAGTTTTTCCATAGTCAACAGAGTTTGAAAATGTTTTATGCCTGGTCATCAGTCTCCGGTCCTTCCTCAGAAGTTGACTGTTCAGGTGCTCTCCGATAGACATGCTTTACAGTCGTTACTCCACCGCTAACAATACCCAGATAGGGTATGTACGGGGACAGCTTTGCTACTACACTTTTAACATCACTCTTAAACAATTTATCCTGATTTAATTCCTGCCTTAATTCATTCCCACTATCCACCATATTGATAGCTTCCATGAGATCCGAAAACTCTTCAATCAAAGCCTCTGCCAACAGCACATGTGCCTTTTCCCTCTGTGCAACGATATATTCCCTCCGTATCTTCATGATAACCTTCCCGGATGCCTTCTTCAGGTAACTTTCGGACTGTTTAACCTCTCCTGCATTGGACAGGCGGATGAGCTCTGCCCTACTGTCCTCTATTTCCGTATTCTCTGCGTTTGACGGTTCTTGTTCCATCCTCTTTATTATACTATAGGAACTATTACTTCATGATCAAATGGATGTATCAGGTCCACTTCAAGATGAGCATACTTATTCTCCTTCAGCTCTTCCTTAATAGATCTCATTTCTGCATTGTCAACAAGAAGGTATTCATAAATGGAATAACAAAGAAATTATCTTCCTCATGAATGAAATCCTGATCATAGGTTTTATTCCAGTGGTAGGTAGGACAAATCAGGAATATATTTTCAAATTGATGGAAGAACGCCGTCTTTAATTCCTGAATGAGGTAATGCATCTTCCCGCAGGCCGTCATACCTACGATAATCATGTTGAATGACATTTTTATTTTCCGGTTAAATAAAGAATGGGATGTCTGTCCACAAAACATGAAACCGCAAACAGGGTGAAGCACAACAAAAACCATAAAAGGAGAAAAATGTTTAACCTTGGTATTGGTATTGAACGAGGAGACATCACTATGAGCGCACATACTCACATAGGTTATGCCAGCGCAACGGTAAAAAAATATAATAAACAAATCGATGAAGATACCGCGGAAACTGATGTGGCTGTGCCTGATCAGCTGCCTATTGATCCAGGTAACGGTTGAGGTTCTCCTTATTGTTGTTACCATGGAGCTATTACTTCAATTTTAATGGTCTAACAAACATTAAAATTTATTCAACATAATCCCAACCTAATGTCTCAAATATTTTCCTACACCGGTTGTGGGGAGCCTTACCCTTAGGAATCATAAGTAGAGACCAGTCAACCTCCACACCAAGTCGTTTACATACCTGATAACTAATAATATTAAGATTAGGTAGTCATTTCCCCTTAGGTTCCTCTGCGTCGCAAATATTAACAATTTTGTTTATGACATCAGACGATCCTTCCCCAAACAACTCATACCCCCACACACCCTTCCTTTTTGTAAAACTATAGACTTTGGAGTCGATGGTAGCTGGCTTATATATGCTTCATAATTGCCCTGTCCCAGCAGCCGTATTCGGAAACGTAACGGGTCCTACCAACCACTAGTCCACATTCACGATATGTCCTTTCCCCATCTATATCAATAAGCTGATGCTTACGTCCCTTGGAACAAAAATGTCTGTTGGGAAACTTCACAGGTTCCTTCGAAGAAAGGAAATCCAAAAACTTCCGAATGACGTAAAAAATTTCTGAATATTTCATGGCATACGAAGCCGCGAAGGTGTTTGCTATCCTGAAAACGAAGAGGCAATTTACAAACAAAAATACGCATATTTTACGCATAGACATATTACAGAAACAGTGCCATAGGAAGCTTTTGTTTATTGGGGGGCAGAAAACGAGGGCCGGAGTTCCGAGAAAATTCTTAAATTTAGGGTCTCTGAAATGCCATTTTCTGGACTTTGGGGAAGTTTTGACAGAATTTTGATGGTCAGAGAAAAGCGTTTTTTGGTATGTTGAAATTCAGTACAATTTGCTTACAATTTAGTAGTACTAATTGGGCCTGGTAATAAGAGCACTATACAAGAGCATCGGATGTGCTAATTTGCGATGGGGAGTGCTTCAAGTGGTGATCCAACCTCCGTCGCAGGGACTTTCCACCGGCTGGGAAAGACCCTGCTATCGGCTGGTCACGTGTCTCCCAGAATCTGGGAGATAACAAACAATTTCAATTAGGGTGGGTACCTAAGTACGTTTTGTCAATGAGCAAGGAGTGAGCGAAGAAATAACCCAGAAATCATGCAGGAAATATTTACAAAATTGTATGTTTTATTTGTCATGAATACTATCAATGTTACACAATAGTAAATATCAAATTTCATTGTGCGCAGAATTTCGGTGAGCAAAGATAGATCAGATTTCAATAGACAAATTATGCCGATACAGCTCGTCGAAGAAATCAACACGTCGCAAACGTTACAAGAAAATATATTTCTACACCAGTACCGACCGATGTGGCTGTTATTTAGCTGTTGGTGTCTATCCTAAACTACAAGGATTTATTTAATACTGAGATTGGAACGAAATATGGAGATCTTTTGATTTCTGAAATATAGCAAACAATGTTGCTTGTAAACAATGCTACTCGGGCTGCTGGAACTTCAGAACCATCCTCAGAGATACCAAAAACCAGAATCTGTTGAAACTTGATGCTCAAGAAATATGTCGAAGTATATCTCCCTGTTATCAAACCTACGGTAAAATAATCCGACAATAGCCTACTCAAAGATAAGTCAAAGACTCGTTTGTGCGTGTATGTTACAAATACGAATACTGTATATGTTTGACATTTAGGACATTTAGAGAATGCAGTCCGCATGATAAATTTGATAAATAGCTTTAATTGTGACATTAGCAAATACTGTAATGAAATTACTTTACTGTAATGAAGTACTTTGTGAAATATAGGAATATACTGAATCAAACTCTAAGTCTATGTAAGTGTTAATATATCTGTGGTATATGCCGTGGTTTATGCGGTTGTTTATTCCGTGGTTTATGGAATTATCTACTGACTATGTTCATATTATAAAGTGTGTACTGTATATCAGAAAAATACTGTTATGAATATTGTAGTTACCCCATTACTTAGTGCATGGAGGCCAAACAATTATCAGGCTAAAGCCGTGATTGTATATACCACTTGATGATACACGCCCTGAGGCTGAAAATTGTACTTTACTACCTGCTAACTTCCTAACCATATATATCTTATATAAGATATCTATGCTCCTACCCTACCGATCTACAGGGTTTTTTAATAAATATGACGAACTATTTAAAAGTATCTTCAAAGATAAACCATCGACAGTTTTGAAGTGAGCATTTAGTCTCTGTTCGGCAGTGTCCACATGTTTACATTGTGATTTGTGACAAAAAGTTAATTACATTTCAAAATTTTATCAACCTTCACTATAAAATGAGACTCGTATTATTACTAAATCTGCACAAAGTTTATCAACGTTTTTAAACAACAAATCTAATGGCATATTTTCGGAACAGATAAAAGTGAAAATGTACAAACGTTCACGACTGGCCAGTTTGATATGAAAATATGTTTCTAGAGAATACCCAACTTCAAAGTTTAAACTATACATTTTATTTGTTTCTTGACTTGACTCTTGATAAAATGGCTACAGAGTACAATGTTTTTGTAATTTAAAAGCAAACGGAGGTATAAAATTGAAGTTAGCGGGCGCTTCGAACTGTATATCGTAAAATCCCACTCCTGGTATTTGAAATTTAACGTTTTCTGTGGAAGCATGTAATTTGATACTTTGCCACTCCCCCTTGGGCAATCAATTTTTGTAGAGTCACGTGACCAGCCGATACCAGGGTCTTTTCCAAAAAGACCCTGGATACGAGGATGGTGGTGATCCTGGACGTAGAAATAGCGGTTAACAATCGGTCTTTGGGCTATGTCGAGGACGATGATCACCTTCCTACCCTGACGCCAAACTAAATGCTGTTTATGCAACCAACCTACTTCCCGAAGAAGAAACTAGTGTCTAAGGCTATGTGCACACGGGCGTCGTTTTGCAGCGTTTTCAAAAACGTTTTTGTCCGTAAAATCGTTTTAACACCGTATTCGCACAGCCCAAAGGAAAATATCTCGGATATATTAAATAAACTACAACTTCTGTCGTAAATTGATAGTGTTTGTATCCGTTTTAGCGTGAAAACACAAATGAAAACGCTCGAAAACGTTACCGTGTGCACATAGTCTAAGACCCAAGGCGGAATTACTCAACATATGTTTAATGGCAAGTACAATTCCAGTACGAATTTCATATCGAGCTACTTGTCGTAGAAGTCGCTCTTCGGTAACCAGGAACGACAATAATCTGATTAGAATTCAGGCCTTAACTTCTCAGGAAAATGAAAATGAGAACGAATGAAAACGATTTGCTCGCTTAAATTTAAAGTCAAAGATCTAGAAGGTGTCATCCGACATCAGGATGACGCAATTCTCAAGCTCTCAGAAGATAATTTCATTTTAAAATCTAAATTATCCTCTTTTGAAAATTTAACTTATAAAGTAATCTGCCATGACCATGCGAATAATGAACGTGCTAATGAGTCTGCCAGTACAACCCAGGTTAATGACCAATGTGGATTCCACGACAAAGACCAACCGACTAATTTGAATGCCAACAATTCGAGGTTTATTGAAACTTCAACCAAGGAAAACTCCTCTCTGCTTAATGGTACACAAGTTCCGGATCCCCACGAAAAGCAGCGCTTGACAATAGATCTAGCTACCCAGCGGAATGAACGGATTAACATAATGACTAATGTAGTTAATGACCAATGTGAATCCCAAGTTAATGACCAACCCACTAATCTGAGTATTAACAATCCAAGTTTTAATGAAATTTCAACTAATGAAAACCGCTCATTGCTCAATAGTACACAAGTTCCAGTTTCTCATGACAATCAGCGCGTGACAATAGACCTAACTG